ACAGTTAAAAAATATCCTGGCTGTAAATAACCATGACAATATTATTAACTTTTATGGAATCAGTATAGGTATTATTTATTGAGTATTTCTAAATATCACCGCAAGTGTTTATCACCACTAGGCAAGATTTCATAATTCCTTGATCGACCCCCTAACTTTTCCCACGTAAATTTAATTTTGCCCAGTGTCGACAATCACTTGCGGTGATATTTAGAAATTTTCTCATTTATTTGTTTATTAAATTCAATTTAAATTAAAATAAATGTTATCATAATCAAAAAAATTATTATTATTCAGATCACAAAACAGATACGTACTACCTAGTGTTGCAATATGCTGAACGCGGTGACTTGAGGACTTATTTACAAAATAATTTCAAAAGTATTGATTGGAAAACTAAAATTAATATGGCTAAAGATATTACAAGGGGTCTACGCTGTATTCACAAAGAAAATAAAGTTCATAAAGATTTAGTAAGTATATTGTATAACAATAATTTAAGAAAGTATACTTGTCACCGCTAGTGATTGTCACCGTTGGGCAAAATTACTGTAACAAATTATGTAATTTTGCCCATTGGTGACAATCATCTCCGATGACAAATAGATTTACCCAACCCTAATAATTATAATTATTAATTATAAATTCAGTATTCTTAACTCATTTATTTTAATAGAATTCAAAGAACATTCTAGTTCACGAAGGAAGACTATTGATAACAGATTTAGGATTATCTCGATCATCAGATTCAAATTCAAATTCAAAATCTGCGGGTGGTGGAATGGTTGCATACACTGATCCTGAATATTTACGAAATCAATTGAAAAATAAAAGAAATAAAGCTTCGGATGTTTATAGTTTGGGGGTTCTCTTTTACCGGAAATAACCATTTTATATATTTCTAAACTTGGCAAATTATTAAATGGAGGTCTTCCACTTGATAGCTCCCAAAAAAGCACATATTAATGAAACTCCAAAAGATTATATCAAAATATATTCAAATGCATGGAAAGATGATCCAAATCAAAGGCCAACTATTGAAAATATTTTT